GACAAGTTCAACTTGACTCGTTTTTGCGAGTTTTTCTTGCTGTTCGACTCGAGTAGAGGAATTATCGTCGAGTTTTTTTCAACAATAAAGTGACTCGAAACTCGTTAACTTGACGAGTTTCTTAAAACTCGCCCGCTGCCGAGTGTGAAGCCATAGCCCATAGAAGAGGCTCTTTTGGTCTCTTACGTTTTTTGAGGTCTCGTAAACGTAAATCTCGCGTAATTTAGCGTAAACTTAAACGAAAACGTAAAATTACGCGTAAGTATGAGGCGGGCAAGAAAAAAAACTAATGTGATATTACTTTTTGGATTGTGTACGGGTACCAGATCCTATCACTAATTTCTCGTGTGCCTTTCTAGAAGCGACTTTTCTACATATGGAGCGTCTTTCAAGTCCGTGAAAGTTTAGCTAAAAAAGGTGTTTGTGGTTCGCCTGTGAAGGCGAACACCTTGCTGACGCAAACGAACACATGGCAAACACGTTTGTGTTTGCCCCGAGGACAGCATTCTTGATAATCACATCAGAGGGATTCTGATTTTTGGCAAATTCAATGTTGGGTACGCAGCTTCGTAGTGTTATGGCGCCAATACTAGCCTAGGGCGCCAGCCATCCTTGGACTAGACTAGCCTAAGTAGACCTACTATTTTTGCTAAGTCCTAATGGACGAGGTGTTAATGGCGTGATGTGTGGGGGGCGTGTAGTAACGGCTGCTGCTGCATAGCGCGACTATGTTTGAGCTCAAATTTGAGCTCAAGCAGTTCGTTGTTGCCCCGAACATATGGGAAATTGGCGGGAAAGTCGTGACAAACACATGCGTGTTTGTTTTTGCCCCGTACCGTCGTGTTTGTCGTGGGTCAGGCACCCGCGACGAGACGAACACGAACGTGTTCGGGCGAACGCCGAACACGTTCGCCACGAACATTTTTAGCCGAAAACAAATCCTGTCCGGTTCGCCTCAAACATTTTCGAGGCGAACCGAACAGGTGTTCGTTTACTTGCTCAAGCCTAGCTATACCTGGTGGACTCTTGGAGTGAAGGAAATGAAGCACCAAGCAATACAACGTGTTAAACAAGGTGTATTCGTCGAAATGGGATGGCGAACACGAACGTGCTCTTGTTCGGCACGGCTCGGCTAGTCGCGCAAAACTGAACACGAACATGTTGGGCCAAAATCAAATACAGGTGTCCGCCCTTGTGCCCAATACGACTCGTAAATATCGGCGGAAGGAGGGGGAGGAAGAGCAGTTTGAAGGGGGAGGAGGGGCACCTAAGGGAAGCGGTGGAAGGACAGCGTCGGCCCAAGTGAGGGGGCGAGATTGGGGGAATCGGTTAAGGAGGAGGAGTGGTGTAGTACGCAATGGTCTCATCAAACAAGACATGTTTTAGGCCGGACATGTTAGATGTTTGTCTCAAACATGTTCGATGTTCGAGTATTTTGTGAACATGAAATCACAAACATCGAACATGTTCGTGATTTCTTGGGTGTTACGCGAACACCAAAGAGATGAGCATCTGGCCCGGCCCGACCTGACCCCGACCTGACATGGCCGGGCCATACGGGCTCCCGGGTCGGGTCGGGTCGGGCCGGCCTCGGGCCAAGGTGTTGAAGGTTCTGGCCCGACCCGGGCCTACACACTCGGGTCAACTTGAACCCGGGTCGGGTCGGGTCGGGCCAGGCTGACCCGCCATGTTTAGGAGCCAGTGGGGTGTGTGTTTGTGAATGTTTTTTTGGTTATAGTGTATAACATATGCTCTAAGTACTCATAGCCAGCATAGTTTGGACCAGCTACTACAAATGCATGCAACATGATTTGGTGTGCTGTAACGGTGTAACCTAAGTAGGAAGGTAATTAGGTGACATTGGAATTGGTCTAAGTCGAAATAGTGCCTCTGGTGTGAATCGATGTCGAGGGGGAGAAAATCCCCTCGACTACTTTTTGTGGGTTTCAACCCATCTTTGTCGAAATTGGGTCGCGCGCCCGACCCGACCCGATTTCGACTCCTTTGACCTGAAATCGAGTCGGGTCGGGCCGGGTCAAAAACCCGACTCGACTCGGCCCGAGATGGGCTCTTGGCTCGGGTTTCCGCTCGGGTCGGGTCGGGTCGGCCCGTACGGGGCACCCTAATGGAAACCTTGACCCGACCCGCAGTAATTCACGGGTCGGGTCGGGCCGACCCGACCTGCGCGAGCTATTTGCTCATGTCTACACCAAAGTGTTCGCGTAGCACCATCGCGGAATTAGCCGTGCTGGTTGACTTGTGTTGCTTTTATAGGATTTGTGAATGTCTTGGTTGGTTGCTGTTTTCTCTCGCCCCCGACCCCCCTTACATTCTCAAACCCCCCTTTCTTGTGTATGCTTGACTGAGCTGAGGTATGTATTTGCTGAACCGGGCAGCTGAAATTTACACCTGCCCCGAATGTGACTATAGTGAAAACACACTCTCGATCCCAACATTTTCGGGTTCGCCGCGAACATGCAGATGTTAGTGTTCTCGAACCCTGAACATGTTCGCCCCCGTATCACAACCCCGAACAACAAAAATCACCCAAAAAAATGTTCAGGCGAATCGAACTTGTTCGTGCAGGTTCACCGCAAACATGTGTGAGTTCGCCCATTGCTCATGTCTAGCGGCAAGGGTGCGGTTGAGGAACTCCGATGCTCAAAGGTAGACGGATCGTGAAGAAGTAGGTCGACGATTGATCTCATTACTGAGCTCAATCGTCCTTTGAGCTCAAGGAAGGCATTCCGCCCCCTATCCTAGTTACCTAGCCCATTCCCACGGTTCACATTTCGGATTTCAGCAGGAAATGTCAGGTTTAAGGTTAAATCAGGGTCAGAAACTCCTTCAAACAAAAATTACAGACATTTCATTTTTTGGTTAAGAGTTTTGGAAGGCAAAACTAGAGACCAGTTTTAAATCCACGCTTTTCACTAATTACCAGTATCAGAAAACACACAAAATGCGGAAGGTCATGCAGGCGACTGGCTGAAATGCAAAAAAATAGTTTTTGCGCCCAAGTGTTAGTCGACGGAAGGTAAAGCGATTACGGGAGCGATAAAATATCATAAAAAACAATTTTGTTTTGTTTTTGTTTTTTTTGTAATCGTTTTTTTCCTCCTTGTCTTACATCTGACCCTATCTTCACATTTCACTTCAGGTGTTTGTATCAGAATCAGCTCATTGGCTCTATCCCTGCAGAGATTCGCTCAATGACAAAGCTGGAGATTCTGTAAGGGTTGTTTACATCAGTTCCACGACTTTCCTCTTCTGCCATTATCTACTCTCGAGTAACCATTTTCCCCTCCCAGCCTCGGCGCCCGATTGCCACACCCCTTAGCTTCAACCTTCTCTTGACTCCTCTTCTCCATCCTCTCCTCTGTTGTCCTCACCCTGCAATGTTGCTGGCATATTTTGAAGCAGCACTAGCCACTGGGCAGTAGTTAATCATGACTAGCTTATGATTTAAAGTCGAAGATATGGAAGGCAAGTATTATTAACAACCAACTTGGTTGGTTGGACTTCTCAATGTCGGTGGCCAGACCAGGCCAACCTACAAATGTTGGGTTTGCCTCCTTCCTTGCCACCAACAGCTCTCTCCCCTCCTTGCCTCCACCCACAATTCTATATCAGAGTCTATGTTCTAGTTTTTATTTTCGATTTTTGTACCGTACACGAGTTTGTCGCGTGGGCCATGGGAATGTCGAACCAAGGATAGGCTCGCGAGGCAATTTTGGCTTGGCTTGACGAGTCATGCTCGACTCGGCTCGACCCAAGACAAAGAGAAAATCAAATATAAGTGCTGGACTGTCGGAATTCTATTTCTTACCTGCTCCTGTCCCTTCACTCTTGCTGCCTTCTCCTGTTCATCCTTGTGTCTGTCTTGTCCCTGTTCCCTTGTTCCCTTCTTCGTCCTCAGCCACCACCTGTGAGAGATCCCGGCTCCCACAGATGGCTGCTCCCTTTGGCCTCGTCACCTAGGCAGGAATTAGCCGTAGAACGGTAACATGAATCCACTATTGAGAGCAAACAAACGAGAGAACAGCTTGGTTTGTGCTATCCCTGGCTACTTATTGCCCTGTCCCGAGCCGTGAGTATCTTTGACGAACTGGGTTGACTTCGAGTCGCCCTGGCCTTGGATTGGCTAATGCTGATTCCCTGTCCCTCGAGGCCCTTGAGCTCTCCCCACTGTACTCCGCAATTCCCACTGCTACCAAATTCCCGTCACTCCCCTGAAACCCAACAACCCCTTAGTAACATTACATGACACACACTTCTACACCCTTCTACAACTCACTAGCGACTAACTGAATTTATTGCACATATCAATAGATTCGGTGACAGATGTCGGAATTCTCTTTCTTACCTGCTCCTGTCCCTTCACTCTTGCTGCCTTCTCCTGTTCATCCTTGTGTCTGTCTTGTCCCTGTTCCCTTGTTCCCTTCTTCGTCCTCAGCCACCACCTGCCCCCTCCTGTGCTCGTGCTCGAGCTGCTCGGGCCCGAGTCACAGGATTTTCACCTAAGGACGGCTGCTCTGCACCCCTGCCGTGTGGCTGTGGTGGTTCTCGGTCTGCTCTCTCTTCTCCTTCTCCAACACCAGCATTCCCACACCTCGCATTGCTTGCACATCTAGTGTATCCTTCGTTGCCCTTGTCCTCCCATCCTACCCCTACTGTTTCCTTTGTCCCTCTGCTGCCCAGCTGCTGCCGCTGCTTATAGCTGCACGCATCCCCCAACTGCACTGCACGTAGGTCCTTCTCCGCTGCCGGTATCACTTCCTTCAGGTATCCTGCTGCCTGGGCTCTCTCCCATGCTACCCACTTCTCAGCCTCGTCCGTTCCCCCTGGTTCTGTCAGCATCTGTGTTGCTGGCTGCATCGGTTCATCTTCCCATGTTTCCCTCTGAATCCACCTTACTGTCTTCGTGGCCTGTTTTCCATCCTCACTCATCACATCTCTCTTTGTACGTTCTGCTTCTTCCTCCCCTGGCAGGCACACACATGCCCCTAGTTCCTCACTCTCCTTCTCTACTTCCTCCTGCTCCAGGGCCTTGTTCCAGCCCGGACCTTCCCACCCTGCCACCCCTAGCTCCCCTTGCCACCAGCCAGTCGCCCACCATTTCGGCTGGTCCACACGCCCTGACCCTCACCTTCTCGACCCTCCCTTCCACTTCTGCTGGTCCTGCTACACATGCCCGAGCCTCCACCCCCTCATCCGTCCCTTTCACTTCCACTGCTGCTGTCGTACTCGCCTGTGCCCCCACCTTCTTTTCCTTCACATCCGTTCCCACTCCTGCTGGTATGCACGCTTGTGTCCCCACCTTCTCTTCCTTCCCTTCCGCTATCGTTACTGCTGGTGTTCACACCTGTGCCCCCACTTTCCCTTCCTTCCCTTCCGTTTCCGCTGCTGCTGGTGCACACGCCCGTGCCCCCACCTTCTCATTCTTCCTTTCCGCTTCCGCCGCTGCTGGTACACACGCTCCTGCCCCCACCTGCTTGACCGTCTCCTCTGCTTCCGCTGCTGCTGGTACACACGCTCCTGCCCCCACCTGCTCGACCTTCTCCTCTGCTTCCGCTGCTGCTGGTACACACGCTCCTGCCCCCACCTGCTTGACCTTCTCCTCTGCTTCCGCTGCTGCTGGTACACACGCTCCTTCCCCCACCTGCTTGACCTTCTCCTCTGCTTCCGTTGCTGCTGGTACACACGCTCCTGCCCCCACCTGCTGGACCTTCTCCTCTGCTTCCGTTGCTGCTGGTACACACGCTCCTGCCCCCTCCTCCTTCTCTTCCCTTTCTGCTGCTGCCCATGAACTCACCTTGTCGTCCTTCCTTTCCGTGCCTGCTGCTACTGGTTTACCCGCCCATGCCCCTACCTTCTCGTCCTTCTCTTCCGTTGCTGGTGTTATTTGCACACACGCCCATGCCCCCACCTTACTCACTTGCTCCCTTGGTCCGTCCCTCCCCCCACTGCGCAGGGCCCCATGTCTTCTTGGCTACTCAGCACCGCACAGGAGTGCTCTGGCTCCTGCTCCTCTTCCTCCTCCTCCTTTTCCTCCCCCGCGTACAACCCCGACTCCCTCTCTGTTCTACCTCTCAGCGCCTGCAGTTGAGCTTGTAACTTTCCAATCTCGGCCTTAATCTCCTCGGGTGATCTCTTTGGCCCACCTACACTTTGGTAGCACTCCTCTGCCTCATGCCCCCGCTTCCCACATTCCTCACAGGTTGGCGCATCTGGGCACTCCCTGCGGTGGTGCCCTGGCTTACCAACCACACACGTCACAGTTCTTGCAATTCATCTTCACATGTCCCGGCTGTCCACACCTGTAGCACGTCCTCGAGTCTGTCCTTCTCTCCCGTCGGCTTTCCTCCCTTGCTCCTGTTTCCGGTAACATTGCGGCTGCTCAAGTGGAATTCTTCCTTTCCGCTGTCCTTGGCAGGTACACCTCGTACTTCCTCTGCGCCAGCTCCACCCTCTCCGCTAACTCGAACACCTCCTCTGGTGTTGTGTCCGCTCCCAGCTCGTAGACCCTCATTCTCAGCCCTCCTGCCAGCCCCTTGTCCAGTCCATTCAGAGGTTTGCTGATGAGCATGCTTCTGTCGGTGCACACCACATCTTCCGCTAAGTTCATTAACCTCCCGTAGTACGTCAGCATTGACTACTTGTTTCTGCGCTTGAAATCCTGAAATTCCTTGATGCGCTCTGCGGTGTGTCCTGGGAACTGCTTCCGCAGCCGCTCCAGAAACAGCATCGTCGTGTCTTCGTCATCTTCTTCTGCCCTTCTCAGCCACTCGTTTATCTTCATGCGGTACAAGGTCTCTGCTTTCCCAGCCAGTGTATTTGGCAGGCTCAAGAAAAAATCAATGGGGTCCATCCCGCTTCGATCGCACCTTTACATTACTAATGTGCATTAAGTAGTTCTTCAGGCTTGGGCCTGTGCCTTCATTCCCTGTGAAGCGCACGAGCACTTCTACCCGTGGTGGTGCCACCATGCCCCACTTCCCTGAATCCCACATCCCCATTACTCCTCGTCCTGCGTGGCTAACTTCTACTCTCCTCTCCCTTATTCCCTTGCTGCCAGAGCTTGTCCCATACAGCACCCACTCTATCCCCTCTCTGGCCGCTCTGGCTCCCCTTGATCCTTCCCCTGGCTGCCATAGCCTCCTCGGGCCCCCTGGACTCGGACTCCTTCCTCTCTCCTCCTTATAAGCCTCCCTTCGCCTTTCTGCTTCCCCCCATCGCCTTTCCCTCCTCTCAGGCGAGTATTTCTGATATCGCGTATCTCGCTCCCCTCTTTCTCGTTGCCGTGGGTCCCCTCTCCCTCTCTCATCTACCCTCAAGGCAGCCGGTGATCGCCATCCACCTTCCCCGGTGCATTCCTCCTCGCGCTCCCTCTCTCTTTCTGGTGAGTGCCACCCATCTCTTTCCTTGGAATCTCCACGCTCTTCCCGGCCTCGGTGCTCCTGATCCCGTCTTCCCCTTTCTTCTTGCCTCCCCTTCATCTCTTCGGGTACCCTCCCTGTCTCCCCGTCCCTCATCCACGTCCCATACAGCACGTGGTCAATGTCTTCTCTGGCCGCCCTTGCTTCACTTGCTCCCTTCCATTCTGTTGAATGCTTCTTACACCACTCTGGGCTCGGGCTCCTCTTTCTCGCCTGCTTTTCGCATTTCGCTCTCCGCCTCTCTTGTCTCCGTTCTTAGCCTCTGCCTTGGTGGTCCTCTCTCCCCATGTGGCGTACTCTGGCCTCCTCTTCTCTGTCATGCGGCGACAATCTTCTCCTGGCACTCCCGCGCTGCCTCTCCTCCTCAAGATTTCGTCGTGACAGTGTACCCCGCCCACGCAGCTCCTGTTGATTTTTCTCCTCTTCTTCATCCCGCGGCTCGGGCGATCCCCGAGCTCTCATCGCCATACGCCTCCTCCTCTCATCTTCTCGCCGTGGTTCTGGCGAGCGATACGCTCCTGCCGGTACATGACTACGCTTGCCTGCGTTGCACTGCTCTTTCGGCGATCGAGTTGCCTCTGCACTTCCACGTCGCCTAGGGTCTTCCCCATGCATCAGCTCTGTCGCGCGATCATTCTCCTTGCTCCCCCGGCGCCTCGCGCCATTCCCGCGCACCTCCTCTGCTGCGCGATCGGCATCCGCGACGTTCCCCCGGCGCCTCGCGCCACTCCCGCGCACCTCCTCTGCTGCGCGATCGGCATCCGCGACGTTCCCCCGGCGCCTCGTGACACTCCCGCGCATCTCCTCTGCTGCGCGATCTGCATCCGCGAAGTTCCCCTGGCGCCTCGCACTTCCCTTGCGTATGTCGTCTGGCGAGCGATCTGCCGCCGTGTTCCCGTGGTGTCTCACGCCGCCTTCTCCGCGCATCCCTTCTGCTGCACGATCCGTTTCCGCGTCGCGATCACACACTTCTTCACGTCGATTTCGCAAATCTGCCTCATCTGCCCATATGCCTTGCTCCCCGCCGCCCCGCGCAATCGGGGAGTCTTCCCGCTCTTCCGCACCCTGGCGCTTATCACTCCGCACAGCTGAGGCGTTCTCATGTTCTTCTTCGTCGTCAGGCTCAGTCGCTGATCCCAGCGCATCCATCTCCGCGTCGTCGTCGCGACGCCGTACATCCGCTCCGTGCTGGCCTTCAGCTAGGTTCCATGGGTCGCTGCTCGTGGGCCTCCTCCCTCCAGGGCTCCGACCTGACGAGCGGATCCGATCCGCCTCCTTCACGACGCTCGCCTGTAGGCATCACCAGATCCGCACGATGCGCCGCTCGACAAAGCGAACGCGTCGGCAATCTCCCGCGCTCCTTTGAGCGCCTCCTTCACGACGGCGAAAGTTCCCGCTGCAAATACGTCCGCTGCCAGTGCAGCTCGTGGCGATCCATATCGCCGCCGGTTCTCTCGTTTGTGAAAGATCCCGGCTCCCACAGATGGCTGCTCACAGTGGCCTCGTCACCTAGGCAGGAATTAGCCGTAGAACGGTAACATGAATCCACTATTGAGAGCAAACAAACGAGAGAACAGCTTGGTTTGTGCTATCCCCGGCTACTTATTGCCCTGTCCCGAGCCGTGAGTATCTTTGACGAACTGGGTTGGCTTCGAGTCGCCCTGGCCTTGGATTGGCTAATGCTGATTCCCTGTCCCTCGAGGCCCTTGAGCTCTCCCCACTGTACTCCGCAATTCCCACTGCTACCAACTTCCCGTCACTCCCCTGAAACCCAACAACCCCTTAGTAACATTACATGACACACACTTCTACACTCTTCTACACCTCACTAGCGACTAACTGAATTTATTGCACATATCAATAGATTCGGTGACACGACGCAGGTGTAACCCGGATCAAAGCTCGCTAATCTGCTCAAGTCGAACAACTGCTCTCTCCCCTCCTTCCTTGCCACAAACAGCTTTCTCTACTCCAACATGTTTTCAGGGTCGCTGCCGTCCTATCGACCCGCCTCTATAAGGCCGGGTTGGGTCGGGGTTCTGGATTATTGTACCAGGGGGGAACCGGCTACCCAGGCCCGGCTGGGTCAGGCCAGATCGGAACGGGTCGGGCCGGGTCAGGCTGATTCCGCATGCCTACTCAACCCCAGTGCCGTGTTCCTTCTGCCATGGCTTCTGGACCACCTTTTTCTACCCCCTTTCTTATTGACATCTCGTTTTTCCAATCAACAATCCAGCCCTAGCCATTAGATCCTTCTTTATTTAGATCGTTCCGCTTTTTCCGGATTAGAAAAGCAGAGACTCTTTCGCTCTGTTTTCCGTGCCCTTGCAGACGTCTTTTTTTTTCGAACGGACTGTCCTTCCTTAGCCCATTATATCCTTCTTAATTTAGACCACTTAACTTTGATCGGATCTAGGAAGCAGAGACACCTATACCTCGTTTCTCTGCCCCTGCTGACTTGGACATTCCACGTTCTTTGCCTTTGCCTCTCTCGCTCCCAACATATCTTCACATTCAATTCAGGCATCTTTATGAAAATCAGCTCAGTGGCTCTATCCCTGCAGAGATTGGCTTAATGAGCGAGTTAAAGCTTTTGTAAGAGTTGTTTACATTGGGTTCAAGAATTTCCTGTTCTGCCTTTATGTACTTTCAAGCAACTAATCTCCCCTCCCAGGCGCACCATTTTCACACCCCTTCAATTGAATCTAAACTTTTCTTCGCCATCCTCTCTTCTACTGTCCTCACACTGCAGTGTTGCTGGTCTTTTGTGAAGCAACACTAGCCACCGTGCAATAGAGAACAATCACCTGCAATAAAAAATATTAATCTTCTCGTACCTAGTTCATGATTTGAGAACGATGATATCTAAGGCAAGGAGTATCAACAACCATCTCTGTTGGTTGGCCGACCCAATGTTGGTGGTCAGGCCAGCCCAACCTACAAACTATAGTTCCTTGCCACCAACAGCTCTTTCCCCTCCTTGCTGCCAGCAGATTTCTCCCCTCCTTGCCACCAGCACATCTCTCCCCTCCTTGCCACGAACATCTCTCTCCCCTCGTTGCCACCAACAGCTCTCTCCGCTCCAACGTGCTGTCAGGATCCTTGCCCTCCTCAATAACAGGGCTCGCAGCCCTTTCAGAATTGTAAGGGGTCAAATGGTTTGCTAGAAATGCGGTTGCTCCCGACTCTTTTGGTCAACCTTACTATTACTTTGACCTATGATTGAGCCGTAACTGTGACTTTGAAGAGGTACGCCCAAGACTAGGAAGCAAGGTGCACAAGATTCGAAGGCATATGAGAGTGGAAGGGCTGCTGTGCTATGGCTTCTGTGGCTGCTGTTGTTGAAAAAGAAAATCTGCCTGGCTCGTGGCTTGTGACGAGTCAGAAAAGCTTGTGATGAGCCAGCCAGCCTCTTATCCCCGTGAGTGACACTCGTAATTGTGAAAAATCGGAAGCGTAACAACGAACGGATGATTAGATTAGGAATGAGGGAGGTATACAAAGTTGAGAGAGCCAATGGGGGGCTGGTTCGGACCTTGGCCAACATAATTGGCCCCAACTCGCAAACTTTGGACCGAAGGGTCCAGTAGACTTGGTCATATGTGAGCCAAGATGATTGGGCCTCCATTTATCTCCCAACCACACCTTGGTCAAGGCACGTCGGAGCGGGGGAGTCAGGTGGTGGAGGAAGTGAGGCTGGTAGGCCGAGAAGAAGCTTCTTGGAGGCCATGTCAGCAAGCGTGCGGAAGTTAGGGTGCCCGAGTCGATGGTGGTAGAGGATGGTCGGATTGGCAAAACTGCGGCATGAGCATGGTGTTATAGTAGCCTGTGCTTGGGTAGTTGACACATGTGAGATGGATACACGCAACGTGTAGAGATCGCTACTGTTGAGGGTGAAGCAAGCTAAGACCTTGTTGGTGAGTGGGTTGATGATGTCACAATAGTACTTCTATTCCGAAATTATGGTGCGGACCCCTGTCTCCTGAAGTTATTTTTGAGCCAATAGATTGTGTCAAAATGAAGGCAGGCACATGCCAGTCACAGTGCCGGATGGGAAGGCGGAGCATGGGATGGGACAGTGGACGAACCCTTGGCAAAAGTGGTGAAGCTTGAATTCAGCTTCCAAGAGAGGAATAGGTGTGGAGTAGGGTTTGAAGGAGGGTGTCTCCTTGAGCACTGTGTAGAGATTAGCATTTGCCCGGCCCGACCCGACCCATGGTTTAGCCCGTGTCGGGTCAGTGGTTTCATTTGCCTGCCCCGTGCGGGCCGACCCGACCCGACCCGGGCTAAAACCCGACCCGAGCAGGAAACTTGGGCTGAGTCGGGTCGGGTTTCGGGTCAGGCTTGACCCGACCCAACTTCGGGTAAGGACCAGGGAAATAGGGTCGGGCTTTAGGCCCGACCCGATTTTGACACACTGAAAATCCACTACAGATAAAAAACACCCCTGCTCCCTCTAAAGGGGCGGGTCGGACTGGCCCGACCCGACCCGACCCGTGACCGTGACCCGTGGTCGGGTCGGGTCGGGCCGGGCTAGTTGCTCATCTCTAGCACTATGTGAGTGGCCCCGATGTCGAGTGTGAATTCTATGTATTGAGGTGCTTGTGATGAGCTGATGTATTGGGAGGTTGCTTCATTAATCATCACAGTGCCAGGGAATAGGAAGTTGATACGCACTATCACTAGCACTAGTGACTGAAACCTTTTTGGCGGAAAAAAAAGTTCGGTTCGAGATAACTCGAACCGAACTTCTCGAACCGAACCTAAGTTCGGTTCGTTGCTCATATCTACACTAGTCGAAGCGGGGTCCTGGACCTCAACTAGGTGTCTTTACGAGGGCGCATCTAATCCGGCGGCTTCTTGTCGACTCCGTGGATGGCATACCATTCATCGTCTTTCTTCTTGAAGCACGTAGCGGGGGGGGGGGGGGGGGGGGGTTAGTGCCACCATACACTTGTCCCTTGCGGTTGCCATACTTGACGACGTAGGTGCACGGAGGGAAACGGTTCTGTTTGCCTATCTAAAACAGGTCCAAAAAACAATATACCTAACGAAAGTGCACCCGGGCCAGGCATCGGTCTAGGCGCGGCACGGGTCGGGCCATTGAGAGAAAATTAAACCACCTTGGAAAAAATTGACTACAATGAATGCCAGCGAGGGCAAACGAGCACTAGCATTAGACAAACCGCGAGTGGCCAAACCCATATAGTCGGCATATGGGCCGGCCAGGCTAAGAAGTCAGGTTGGTCCGAACGAATTGGAACTCGACCTGGTTTGGCCATGTGGCTGGTGAGGCTCGCATTGGGTCAGCCCGAGTATGATTCCTCCTGGTCATTTCTAATCCCACGCCACTACCAGCGTCTTACCTACTCACACGTTTGTCCATTTCCTTCATACCCCCCACGTTTCTCTTCCCTCCTTGTGTTGGACAGTTCCCTTTCTAACAACCAGCTCACCAACTCCATCCCCTCAGACATTTCCTTGCTGACGAAGCTGGTAATCTTGTAAGTAGGGATGCTGTTCGGCCTTAGTTGAACCATGCCAGACCGGAAACATTTGGGCCAGACTAAGCAGGATGGCCGAGCAGTCCCTTGGTCCAGGATCGGCCATGAGAGCCCCAGACCAAACCTTGTTTGTCCCGACCCAGACCAGTTTGTGTTCGACCCGTGTCTCTTTCGTTATAGTCTCCAGTTGTAACGATCTTGACTAAGTTAGCTTTAGAATCTTTGTAGAAGGGGGGTGGGAGGGGAGTGGGGATACGCTGCCCTGACGGTGCTTTACATTGTATTTGGATGGTTGCGATTCTAGATTTTTAGCGAACTAGAAACGTTTCTCCTTACTGGGTAGACATGGGCAAACAGCGAGACGAGTAATCGCCTCGTTTGCACAACGGCAAGCATTACTCGCTACAGGTAATGTTTTCCCTCGCCTTACTCGATACTCGTCGCGTCGAGAAAGAAGAGTATCATTTGTTACAAGCAATTGAAATACTCGTGGCGACTAATACTCACCTTGCTAGGAACACCCCTAACGAGACTCAACTTAGCATAGGGAAATAATAACCGTGCCTTTTCTTGCGCTGCTTCCCCAAG